ATTGGATCTGCCACCACTTCTGCCCCTCGATACACGCACCCCCTCCCTAACTTTCCCTGCCTCCTCCTTTTCTCAAACAGCTGCCAACAAGCACCAGAGCCTGTGGTCAGGTTGAGTCTTGTCTGCTGACAGCAGGAGTGAGGGAGCCAGTGATAAACACATCTGTGAGCCTTTCCAAGACACTCAGCCAGGAGTGGCTGTGGGCTGCCTCTTTTCTCCTCTGTGTGTGTGACCCACAGAAGCCTACTGTGGGGGAGGTTCTGGGGTGGGGCCCCATGCCTTCTAATAAATGGCACACAGCAGGATCCTGGGGCACCTCCCCTGTGTACCCTCACCTGGCCCTGACCAGCACCTGGGATCCAGAATAAATCAATGTCATAGTCCCATTTGACAAATGGGGAAACTGTATCTCCAAGTAGGGATGGGACTCAGAACTGATATAAACCAAGCCTTAGGCTAGGTGGCTGTCCTTGCTCCTGACCACTTGGATATGTGTGTGGGTGCTCAGGTGCCCGGTAGCAGAGAGGGCTGGGCTAAGAAACCACTGCTGGAATCTGGCTGAGCAGTATGGCTACTGCCCTGGGTCTGCACTCCCACACCACAAAGGGCCAGACCTGTGGATGGTCACGCCTTTCCCTATGTACACTGGGGAGTCACAAATCCCACTTCTTGGCTCTGGAAAATACAGAGCTCCAGGTTGAACTGCTATCCCGGGGAGCCACCCACAAGGGTCCTCACAAGCCAGAGTGGAGCTGGGCCAACATGGGGAGAGCCCTTCTGGTGGTTTCCCTGAGCTTGTTACAGAATTTACCAGGCGACTGAAAAACACACAGGAGTACCCAGAGATACAGGAAAAAAACATTTATTTCCCGATGTACTAGTACCATGACTCAGGGGAGCCTATTTCCAAATCCTGATCAAGCCAATATGGAGGAAGCTTTCTCTTTATGCCCTTTGGTTTCTTTGTCCCCCAAATATGAATCAGACTTCCGGACCTTTTGCAGGCTTTGCAAAAAGCCCCGTGTGTTAGGATGGTGGATGTGAAACCATACCTAAAGGCCTGGCCTGGCACCAGTGCTGATAACCCCCTCCAGGGGTTGTGTATGGTTCATGGTTTATGGCCTCTGTGAAATGGGAGTATTTAGGTAAACAGGTCTTGCAAGACCAGATAATTAAGGAAGGGGCAGTGACTAGACTATAGGCTAACAGGAATGTGCATTAGGGATACAGAGTCAGGCTGCTAGCACCTCTTCCCCCCATCCCCCACCCCATATTATTTTCCTTATCATTCTGGGAGAGCCCAGTCTGCACTCATTCTGCACCCCATTCTTGATCCCGCCCAGGGCCTCACTCTGCCTTCCTGGAGTCAGTGTCTATGAGTTCTGCCCCTTCCCTGCTCCAGAACCATCAGTGGTTCACCAGTGACCATAGGTACTCAACTCTTCACTCTACACAGAGTGGCTTGTTGATGCCAGCCTTAGGGGTGCAGCTGTGAATGAGACACTTCAAACTCATGATCTGGTATGGAGTGGGGTGGGAGAGAAAGGAACAAGATGACATCTGAGAAAAGGCTAGGAAGGAAATGAAAAGGAAGCTTGTCTGAAGGGGGACATCTGAGCTGAAACCTGACAGCAACCACAGAAAGATCTGAGGGGACAAATCAAGGCTCTCACTCCCTGGCCTGGCAGGTGACCATGCAGGCTCTCCAGCTGCTGTGACTCACAGACCTGCCAGTCTAGGCCCCTGAACTTGCCCTAAGCCCTCATCTCTGGACCTTTGACCACTGCCTCCCCACACCAAACCTGTGTTGCCTTCACCTCTCTTCTCTGCCAAGCCAAACCTCACTTGTCTCCTCCAGGAAGCCACTAAGGTTGATCTTATGATGTCTGACAGATTCCGGCATCTGCACCACCCAAGAGTTCCCTGGAACAGCAGCCGCAGCCCTCACGCTGTGGAGCTCTGTGGCTTGTGAAAGCTTTTCCCACTGGATATACTGAACCTTTCTTATCCCAAGCTAAGAATTCTCTTCTTTAATTCTCACAGTGGCTCAACCAGGAAGCCACGGATAAGGAAATGGAGGCTGGAAGAGGGAAGACTCTTGAAGCACTCCCTTTTTCTGCCTCCAGGGAGTGTTTCAAGGGCAGGAGGAAGCCTACGCCCTGTGCCCTGTGCCCTGTGCCCTGTGCCCTAAAGAATGACCTGACCACAGAAACTAGAAGAAATGAATAGCTGAAAAGCCTGGAGGGATGTGCTGGCTGCACAGGAGCTGCCAGCCAGACAGGGCCTTCCAATTAACCCAGGACAGCATCGTGTCAGGTGAGTTTCTGCAAGTGTGACTCACCCAGACTCCTGGGAGGCTCTTACACACAGGATGTGGCCAGAAGCTCTAGAAGAGGAGGGAGGGAAGGGCACCTGAAGGCTGGAGGAAGGGCCAGCTTGTCCTCTCCCATTCATCTGCAAGAGGGGAACCTTGCTCCTCTCCAAGGTGTGCAGGCTACCCCTCTTACCCCCAACACCTGCCAGACAGACTCCCTCCTGCGTTACGTGTTTGCACAACTTGTAATCACAGCCGCCCTGTGCTGAGGACAAACTCTGTGCCAGGCCCCAGGGTAAGTGATCTCCTGCCTTGTCTCCTTCCCTCCTCACCTCGGCCCTGAGGACACTCCTGCCAGCTCTACTTCCTTCCAGGGAAGGAATAATAAAGCTGGAATCTAAACCAGGCAGCCCAGTGCCAGCCTACAGGCAGCCTTCTGACCACCATGCCACAGCAGTGTATGCTATATAAAGAATGTCAGCTTTTGCCCTAGCTGGTTTGGCTCAGTGGATAGAGCATTGGCCTGTGGACTGAAGGGTCCCAGTTTTGATTCCGGTCAAGGGCACAAGCCTGGGTTGCAGGCTCAATCCCCTGTGTGGGGTGTGCAAGAGGCATCCGATCAGTGATTCTCTCTTACCATTGATGTTTCTCTCTCTCTCTCCCTCTCCCTTCTTATCTGAAATCAATAAAAATATATTTTAAAAAAAGAATGTCAGCTCAGAGACAGAATTCTGGCACTGCTTATTAACTACTAGAGGCCCAGTGCATGAAAATTCATGCACTGGGGGGGGGAGGGGTCCCTCAGCCAGGCCTGCCCCCTCTCACAGTCTGGGAGCCCTCAGGGGATGTCCTATTGATGGCTTAGGCCTGCTCCCCTTGGACCTAAGTGGCAGTCTGGCCTCCCTCTGTGGGAGGCAACTGGCCGAACAGGGAAAGGCATTGCCCCCATCACCCTGCTGCTGCTGTCACTGCCAGCCTCCACAGCTGCGAGGCCTGAGCCCTGGAGCTCACAGCTGCTGGGGCTCATGGCTGCCTGAGCCCCAGGCCTGCAAAAGGGGCCACGGCACTGGACCAGCCCACGGCACAGGCCCGCCCCGCCTCTCCCGCGTGGGCCCTGCCCATGCCCCCAGCCCAAGGCCCTCACAGCCTCTGTGGCTTTGTCCAGATGGACGTCCAGAAGACATCTGGAAGAGGTCCTAATTAGCATATTACCCTTTTATTAGTAGAGATGGGACCCTGAGCCCATTACTTACCCACTCTGAACCTCAATTTCTTCACTTGTAAAATGGGGATAATGATGCTACTGTTCTTAGAGAAGCCTTGAGAATTAGGCGAGCTGATACATCCGGAGCTATAAGACTGCCTGGCCCACAGACATGCTCCAGCAGAGCAAGATATGTGCCACTTAATACATCTGTCACCCAAATGGGGTGTTCATAGCCCACACTTAGCCAGTTAAATACTTGAGCCTCTGGTAACCCTCTTTCTTTTTAACCTTTTCTACTGTTGACAATCAGTTTGAAATGCCAACACTTAAAAGTGAAGTGATGGTACATAAAAATCTGAGTCTAAACTCAGGGTCTGGCCACAGTGGGCTGGCCTTCCTGCACAACCACAGTGGTGGCCTGTGGATGGGGTCTGCATTCCTGGGTCCAATATAGCCTTGTGTATGGTTTTTTAGGTCTTTGTCACTCTTGCTCCTGCCCAGCCACCCTGGGTACCGGCATTTGTGGCCCCAGGTGGTGTCAGCACAAGTTTTATCGCTGCAGTGGTCTGTTCCAACCCAGGTAGCCCTAAGCCCCCCTCTCCATCTGCCCTGGCTCACAGACACTTCACCACAGAGCTCCACCTGACATCTGAGCTTTTCCTCTCCCAGCATCTCCTAGGCCTAGGGGTTCCAGGAAGGGTTCTGAGCACCTCAGCCTTCAAAGGCACGTAATAGCATACTCCCAGCCTTAGGCTGCAGCCCAGGGCACAGCCTGAGCCAGGAGCACTGACTTGGGTACCTTGAGCTGCCTCTGCCCAAATACTTCCTGGGATAAAGAGCTCACTCCTTTCTTGGTAACTCACTCCATATCTCATGGCTTTGGCTTGGCTCCTCACAGCAGGACCTACTTCTCCATGATCCCGTCACCCCGTGGGCCCTTACTCTGCACTCTGGGCCCTTCTGCTTCCTTGCCTTAGGACAGCCAGCTTTTCATGGGATGGGTGTCCAGCCCCTTTCTGTCCCAGCCACCTCCACTAGAAATATCCTGGAACATTCCTAGCTCTCTTCCAAGCTGAGCTCAGAATCCAAGAGCATCTGAGGAGGCACTCAAAAAGGTGCCTTTATTTTGAGTGCCAGATTCCAGCTGTGGTGATCAATGACATGCTAGTGGCCCTGCTGTTAAGGGATGACTCCTGCTCAACCCATCTTAACCTCTCCCCCAATCAGAGTTTGCACAGCTGATTTTGTGGACCCAAGGATAAGAGTTCACAAGCCTCCCTCTTTCCATCTCGCTGTTATATCAAATTTGTTTTCACCTAGATTCAGTTATTCAACCTCTCTAGTAACTGAGAAGCTTCATGCCACACCCTGAGCCCTATCAGCAGCTGGGGAGGGCAGAGCCAGCTAGGGGAGGAACTCTGTGGCTTTTCCTGGAGCCCTGCTGCCTGGGAGCAGGCTGTCCCAGGTCTCCCGCCCTACCTTCCGGCCCGCCTCATTGTTGTGCAGGTTCATGAGTGTCCTGGCGTTCTGCTTGATCTCCCGGGCATCCACGAAGACCTTGGCAAAGCGGATGCCATAGCGGATGTCAGCCGAGCAGCCACCCCACTTCCAGCCCTCATCCCGGTGGTACTGGCCTTGCTTCTCCTTGTCGCAGCCACAGTCACTTAGGTTGCCCTGGGTGCAGGCAGCTGTGATGGCGTGGGCCACGCCGGCAGCAATGATGGCATAGGTGAAGGCGGCCTCCCGGCTCCCTGTGAGGAGAGGGTGAAAGGCTGGGGTCAGGTCCAGGATATCCGGGGAGGAGACCAGCCTGGATAAGAAGGGAGGCTGAGCTCCACAAAGATCCACTGAGCACCCATTCCTTATCTCCGAGAGGTCCATCCTGGGGTGATGACCAAGCCTGAGCACCAGTCATGCACACGCCCACTCAAGCCCCAATCACTGCCTGCCCTTAGGTAGCTGACTGGGCAGGGGAGGAGAGAGACGTGTGGGCTGCTGGCCCAGGCTCCCAAGGCCAGAGGATGGGACAACCCTGTGAATGACCGCCCACTCCCCACAACACTCAAATTAGGGTGTAAACTGTGCACGTGAACAGCTCTCACAGCATCTGGCAACAACCCTCAAAACAGCATTTCTTCAACACCTGCATTGCTCACAGACTCCAGAGCCTGAGCCTGGGCTCACATCTCAGGAGCATCCATTTCTGGTCCTGTGACTTTCAGCCAGTGCTGAGCCCTCCCTGAGTCCCATGTACTCAGAGGTAAAAGGGAAACTCTGCAACAGTACTTTTCTCATGGCAATGACAGAAAGCAGTAAGAGTTTGTCCTATAAGAATTGTTTTAAGAGTCTTCTTGTTATCAGTGGAGTTGTAGATATATTTCAAAATAGAACTGGTGATTTTTTAAAAGTTTGAGAACTGAACAAAGGAGCAATTGTATGAATTATACTCTGAAGGGAAGGGAAGGTCTCAATGGAAGTTGTATGCTTTTTATATTTCGATGCCATCAAATATAGGTTAAAATATAAATTTTGTAAATCCATTTAAATGGGAACTATTGGCCTCCTTGGCCCTAAATGAAAGGGCTGATATTTTAAGTTGATTATTTTACTGTAAATTAATCCATCCTAACTTTTAAAATTTGTTTGAATGTTATCTTGTTAAGTGTTCAAAAATAAGAACTAGAAGTTAAAAATTCTTTTAGCACTCTCAGCTCTGCGTCTGACTCCTCGCAGGTGCCTGACACACAGCCCTTATTCTCTGAGAGCCCTGTTACTACTGCTGTGTGTCACTTGCCAGTCGCAGGCTCACCCACTCCTCTTGGCCAGACTGTGAGCATCTCCAGGGAAGGCTGGGACCTGGACCCTGGACATCTGCATCCTCAGGCCTTGGTCTTCTAGAAGGCAGGGGCTGGGGAAGAGGAGTGAGGACTGCCCACAGTCAGGGTGGAAAAGAGCAGGTACATAAACAGGAAGGTTCAGTAGGGGATCTGGGGAGCTGCTAAGAAGTCACTTTCCACAAGTCTTCCCAGCTATTTGAAGATGGTTCTGCCCAGTGGTGCTGGGCTCTTAGTGGGGGTGGAAGGGTCCTGAGTGTGCTGCCACCCACACTCTTTGCCTCTCTGGGCCTCAAACAGGTTCGCAAGCAGTGTCTACTGCACAGAATGAAGGTGGACCAAGGCACTCTGTAGGAAGCCCTGTGTGCAGCGTGAACTCCGAGTGAGCATTCAGCAAGTTCGCACTCAGAGCCAGGGTGGTGTGGGCTTCAGGGAGAGCAGCCTGTTGGGAAAGGCCCCCAAAGCTGGAGCAGGAGATGAAGTAGTGCTGAGCAGGCATGATGGAGTGGGGAGAAGTGCTTCAGGATGTTGGGATGAAGTGGCTTAAGCAGTGCGGGAGGTGGATAAAGCAGCCTCCAAGTTGCTTTAAGTCCCAGGTCACTGGGACCCACACTCAGACACACCCTTTTCCCACCCGCCCATGGCCACCCTAACCCGGGCTGCTAAGACACAGACAACCTGTGCTCCCCTGCCCCCACCCAATCACCACTGAGTGGCTTCCTGTAGCCCAAGCCACTTTACTCTGACATTCCAAGCCAGCCCATCCACAGCATCCTGTTAAAACAGGGGGCTCAAATTCCAGCTCCATCACACACCTACTGGGTCCCTGACTCTGCACATATTCTCACATTGGTATTACACACCTCATGTGTGTAATAAATTCCTGTCAGAGGGCCTGGGACAAAACCACATCAACGGGGTGGACATGCACACAGGTCTGACAATTTGGCAGGCTGGATACCTGACAATGCTTTTGTTTTGTGAAATTAATAAATGGTGCATAAGAACTAGCAATGCTCCGCTGGGCTCACTGGAAGGCAAGGGAGCCTGTTGGGGCCATGTGTTGAAGACAGAACTGACCACCAGAAGGGCAGGTAGGAACAGAGTGACCATCTCCTGCTGCTGGGCTTTGGGAAAGAGGGAGCTTTGAAATTTAAGGTCATGAGGACAGGAGATCAGGCCTCAAGTTCCACCCAAGCAGGACATTGGACAAGAGCATTTAATGGACAGACTTCCAGGGAGAGGGCAGATTAGAAAAATCTTCCCCCAAAGCTGGGCAGCAAGCAGGTGGGTCTGAGTTGGCCAGAGCAGGAGGTGGAAGAGTGAGGGGTGGGCAACCAGAATCTCCTGGGATTTGCAACCTCACTTCTACCTCTGCATGTTTTTAATTTACTCCTCTGCATGTTCCAAGGGCATCCAAGCCAAGCGGGAAGACTGGTCCCAAAGATAAAGCCCCTGAGAGCAGCTCTAACTGCTCCAGATGTCAACGGACAGGTAAGACTACACTGAAGGGGACAGCCTACAGTCAGATTAGACCCTTGCCGACATCAAGAAAAAGAATGTCAGATGAAAAGTATAGAGAGAGCAGGATGGGTGCTGGGGAGTCCCTGTTCTATCACTCCTAACTGTGTGACCTTAGCTGGATCATCAACTTCTCTGTGCTCCAGTTTCTCTACTATAAAATAGGGATGCTAACTACCCACTCATTTAGGACTAGAACAAAATTAACAAAGGTAAAGCATTTAGCACAGAGACTGGCATGAGAAATGGCCCCAACTATTAAATTTATTGCAATTTCTATCTATGGCAGTAGTAACAGTTCTTTATAAGAGAGCTGTGCAGTAAGCAGTAGAAGCCTTCATTTATCTTCCTTTACAATTGGAGAAACTGAAGCCAAGAGAAAGGTCTGATTTGCTCAGGCCGCTCACCTGGTAGACTGCAGAGCTGAGCTGCGGACTCTGCCTCTGGACACTCCACACAGACCAAGAACTGTCCCCAGCGATTAAATGACTCCAAGAAAGGAGACTGGGTCCCCTTAATCAGACCTTGAGTGGAGTATGTAAATTGGAAGGGGTGGGGCCTGGCCTGTCATCTGAGACTTGCCTTTCTCCCAGGCTCCTTATGGGAGGTGGGGCCAGGGGCAGCATAGGGGCTGCCAGCCCAACCTCCTTCCTGGTGATTTTGTGTGCAGGAGCTCTACCACCAAGTGATTACCAATCCCTGGGGTCTCTCTGAGCCCCATGACTTTGCAAATGATGACAACAGACACTAGTTAAACATAATGATAATGGCTCGCTACCCATGCAAGATTCTCATCAGATTCCAAATGGGTGAAGGGCAGCTGCACCACAACACATTTAACTCCCCTGAGCTTAAGGTGGGCCTCCAGACCAGAGTGAAGTCTTATCAGGGGCCACCTAGCTCCCTCACCTCAGCACCTGCTGAGGAGTGAAGACGGTGGCCTAAAGTCTGAGAAATGTTGAGGTGCAGTCATTCTTGGCTTCAGAGGTCCCAGGGACCCAGGTACTGGCTGGTAAAGTCTAATACTTCCAGACGCTAAAGGGTCACTCTTGATCCCTTGATATCTTGACATTGGCCTTGCCCACCAACATTAGGCTAACACCACCCAGTCCATCTCCCTTCTCCTCCAACACTGACCACTGGGGAAACTGCCCTGGGCATCAGGCTGACTGTGTAACTAATGTCAGTCCTGTTAACTGCTGTAAGCCCCTGTTTACTCTGTGAAATGGGAATAACAGCATCTAAACAGAATGAGGGAAAGGTGCTGAGCACAGCACTGGACATGTAGTAAGTGTTCAGTAAACACCAGCCATTGTTATTATTACCACTGTGTCCCATTTCGCCACATCGTGCTCCATGATACCTTTAAGGACAAGACAGCCTCATGGTGTATGGGGCTGATCCAAGGTCTGTCTGCCCATCCAAATGGATTTACAAGGGGACAAGGACCATGTCTGTCTTGATCCACTGTTTACAACTCGCACCATAATGTGTGAGGGATAAATGAATAGCAGACCTAAATTCCAATTTGAACCCTGCCAGACAGAGCAAGTCACTGAACCTCTCTGAACCTCTATTTCCATATCTGTTAATATCAGCCACCCTGTAGAGAGAAGTAGGTATCACCTGTCATATACCCAATGCTTAAATAAACAACAGTGAGTGTTATAATTATTATAATGGATGAAATTACTGTCATTGTTGGGAGGTGCAGAGAGAAACGTCCCCTACTTTAGTTTTCTCCATAACTTTCCTTATATTTTAGACTTACTTGTTTATTGTCTGTTCTTCTACCTCATCTACCACCTCCATTGCCCCTCTGGAATGTAATTTCCTTGAAGGCAAACACTTTGTTACAAGTAGTAGGTAATCACTCAGTAAATATTTGTCAAATGAATAAATGAACAAATGAAAGAAAGCTACAGACAGTGGCCAACAACCACGTGACTTTTATTTAGTGCTTCCATGCAGTGCTTTGGAAAGTGTGCTCACCTGCTCTTAAGGAGAACAACCCAACCGAGATCCCAAAAGGCTCTGCGAGGCAGGGTGGGGATGACCCCCAGCCCAGGCAGCATGGCTTCCCCAAGAAGCCATGTCTGCGCAGAGGTAGCCAGAGGCCTGAGGTTGGGGTTTGGCTTGGGGTGAAGGAGAAGGGTGGAAAGAAAGTAACATTTGTTGATCATCTATTATGTGCCAGACCCATATTTGGCTATCTGTGTGATATTTCACAATAGTCCTATTGGATAGCCACCTTTTCTCACAATTTGACAGGTGAGGAAGCCGAGGCTCTGACAAGTAATGCCATTCACTGAGGCCGCCCACCTGGACACCGGCCAGACTTGGATTCTGGGGCCAGGTTGGCAGTGTCCTTCCTCAGTCCCAGCCTCCCTCCCTTC